AAGAGTGTGGAAGGTGGGAACTCGATTGCGACTGTTGGGTTGAGCGCACACACACACACGGCTGTTAACTTATACGCGGGAGGAAAGCAGAGGATCAAGAATCAATGATCAATGATCAATCAAAGCAGTTGATTGGTTTCCAAATATACCCCTCCCTCCCTCCCTCCAAGAAATGCCCTCACTGCAAGCGGCAAGCGCCTATATTAATTACTTGAGTAATAATGTTATCAAAATCAGGGATGAAAAAATAGAAGAAGGAAGCGGAAAGATGAGCAGGAGCAACCTAATTAATTAAGCTAAGAAAGAGCCGTTGGAAAAGGTCAATGCCAATTATTTGGGCCTCGCCAACGCCAACGCCAACGCCAACACCACCACACGCCAAGCCAGCCAAAATCAAAATCAACATCAACATCAACATCAACGCCCCTTACTTTCCTTTCCTTTTAATAATTAGTTGGATTTTGCTGGAACCTTCCTCAGTGACCACCGTTTCCTAGTCTGTTTCCTTCTCTCAAAAAAACAAATTACACCGGAAAACTTAATTTATTTAAATTCCCATAATTAATTAATTAAATGAAAGCCAAAAGACTTTCTTTGTAAAAATAAGGTACCAAAATGTAAGTCTACTTTTTATATTTATTTACAGTTAAACCGTTAAGAAACCTTCTCACAATCAAAGACTTGTGGAGAATTGACCCCCAAAAAAAAAGACTTGTGGAGAGAGAGAGTTGAGTTGAGAGGGTACTCAAACCGTGTTACCGCCGTGTTCTAGTAATTCATTTAATTTTAATTATATATTCGAATTCAAATTAGTTTGGTAATATTTAATTGTGTAATGTGAATGAGCTTACAGCAATCTTAGACTGAAAAGCTGTCTTTCATCTATGATATTCATGTGGATGTGGTGGTGACTGACTAGCATACCACTCACATTTAATTATTTTATGACTTTTATACAGTGTATATACATAATACACACATATATATATATATATATATATGTAACACGAATTTGAGTAAATGAGCAGCAACTCATTCTGTCATTCTCACTGTACAGTCTGTAGCAAAGTTGCTCAACCACTTGAAGAAAAAACGTGTTCAGTTATGGGCCCTATCTCATAGCTGTTGGATCGTTTGACAAAAATGAAAACAGTTTGTGGCAATTAGCCTCATCTATCTGTAGAGAGAGAGAGAGAGAGAGAGAGAGAGAGAGAGACAGATATATATGGAGGACCAGTTCAAATGAGAAAGTTGCGGCACCTCCTGCTGGCATCAAAGACATATCCCTGCCTGAGCCTCGCTCTTCTCTCCATGAATTTCTCTTCATTAATTTTATGATTTGTTTGGCTCAAACACAACATTAATATGACTAACTTGAGTGAGTCCGTTTGTCTTGGCTTACATTAACGAATCAAAAATTAATCAAGTAAACAACGCCTTACTAGTGCTCATAACTAACAATTAGTATATATGGAAAACGAATTAACCTCCTCCATCCATTCATGTTAGAATTTGTTACGGCTATATATATCAGTATTTGTTCCGTAGTTATAGCTACCTCATGCTCATATATAGATGCCAGATTCAAGCATCCCTCCATGTCGGACATTCATTTTGTATATAACCTGGTTGCTTCCAACCTTTCCCACCAAAGTCTTCTCCCACATCTCACCCTGCTCGCTGCAGGGAGAGGGGACATCCCGACTGACCGTGGGATAAAGAAGAAGAAGAAGAAGACCACAGGCGCCCGTTGCACCTAGGCACGGCCCTAACACAAACTATATACATTAATTAATGGAACCCAAGTCAGACAGCGTGATCATCACCATCGCCGACAGCAACAAGGGTCCCGGTCCCAGTCCTACTCCTACGGATATTATTGATCATACTAGTATTAAGGAGGCGGCTCATGATCATCAATCTGATCATCATCATCATGATCATCAATCTGATGATCATCATCATGATGTCGGCCCCACCTCAGCCGCTGCACCTGCACCTAAGAAGAAGCGTAGTGGAGGAGCTATGCACATTCTCCAATTGGCCGTCTTTATGCTCCGACGACGACATCGTTCAGATAGAAAATCCAAACCCACCTCCTTCGAAGGTCAAGCTCAAGCCGTGACCTCAACAAAAGGCACGTGGAAGCGCCTCGTAGGGTCCATCCGGCCCTTGCACCTCCAAACCACCAGTAACTCCACGCCGCCATCCTCCGTACACACACCTGCTCCAAGTGAACGATACGAGGACGTGCTCCCTCCACCCATGTCTCCGGCGAGAACCGACGACCTCTCCTCCGAAGATGGCATGACTAGCCGATACGCCTCTGCCGTCAATCTCCAAGAGCTAGACCGCACCGACGAAGACAACGACAACGCCGCCATCGTCAACGCCAACATTGACGCAAAGGCGGAGGAGTTTATCGCTCAATTCTATCAACAGATGAGGCTTCAGCGCTTGGATCGCTTGGATTCCGTCCATCTGAGTTGAAACGACACCATTCGGAGGTCAACCAGTTGAGATCGATCCATCCGTGTACCTAGCTAGTACTACAATACGCATGCATACATACATATCCATGCCCGCATATATCATGCATGCAGCTATATATGTACGTTGCTTCGCCTTCGCCTGGGTCATGACATATAAGCGCTCCCTCCCTCATCCTCAGTAATATGCATGGCTGCAACTCAACTAGGAAAGGACATGCATGCGCAAAGCAAAGCATGCACTTACGTACAACCTTCATTTGCATGCATTGACGTTGGCTAACTTGGGTTCCTTAATTATACATATGTATAAGTACCCATATTTATATATATATATATATATATGGGCTACGTATCTAGTTATAGCTAGCTAGCTGGTGCGTGTATTGTACCTAATTTCGGAAACCAAAAAAAGAAAAAGAAAAAAAGAAAAGTTTGAATAATGTTCAATCTATCTTTTATTTGATTTTAATATAACTTTGGTACCAATTATAGTCTGCGACTGCGAGGTGCGCTACTGGGAAGTCCATGTATAATATGAGGACGTATTTTTCTTCGCATTTACGGGGGTTATTGAGTGTAGCCCAAAGACTCATGTTGTTGGGTTCCTGTCCTGTACTGTCCGTGATTGTTCTTTGGTTGGGCTTGGAATCAAAAGACGTACGGATATAAATACTTTGATCTCAACTCAATCAAGGATCCGTATTTTTAATTACCAAAAACAAAACACAAATACGTGATAAATTAGACACGAATATAAGTGCAAAATTAGAAGGATTGATTGTGTTTTCGGTTAAATACAACAATTTAGAGGATTTTATTTCATGATTCGGACTTAATTGCAAGCCAAACTAAACGACAAAACAATTCTTCTAGTCATACTATTGTAGACTCTAGGTCTTGCCTGTAGTGTAGGTGTTGTGCGAGATGTACATGTACTTTCTTAGTTTGTTGGTTTGAAGCTGCACGCACTTGTGGTCTGGTCTGGTCTTGCAGACAACATCGGTTTCTGCCAATCCTTGTTGGACAGTAATTTCGAAATCAATGAATTTTTATCAATTTAATCCAATTTGAGATTTTACAATCCGATCGAATGTGTTCGGATGTCAAGATTGAATACATTGGATTGGATGATTGGTTTGTATGATAATTATATAGAACTCAATTCGATAGAAAATACCATGTATTATTATTATTATTGGGTTATCGATATGACGACTAGCTGGTGATAAAACGAACCCTGGCAATGGTAATCATGTAGAATTACAATCTGTCAAATATGGCAGTAAAACCACCTAAATAAATACTATCCAACCATTTCCTGGTGACGATAAATCAAACTTTCAAAATATACATATTACAAGAACACAGAAAATAATATTGTCTTATTACCAAATTGTCTTGCAACAAGAGAAATATATATTACCCTACAGGCTATAGGTGAAAATGCTAAATGACATTAACTAATTAATTTGGAAGAGAAGATATGGATGGAGGCTGTTAATTCAATTGAATTCTTTCTCCCCCTAATTAACCTGAACCTGTGTGTCATTGTGAATTAATATTGGGATCGTCAGCCAAGGAAACCTTACTTAGCCTACTGGGTTGTGTTCTGGCTTCCCTGCTGCTTCCAGTGCGCCGGTTGCTGCTGCTGCTGCTTGAACCATAAATGGCTCTCGATGCAAGTGCTTTTCCGAAACTGGAAATGTCATCTCTTGTACTTGTTCTTCCATTTTCTCTCTCTAAAACCTCACAACTTGCGTTTTCATTTTCACTGCTCATATCCACCTCACTATGTTATTAAGCCGGATAGACACCCCTAACTTTATATACATTGAAGCTTTTGGTTTGGAAATTCGACAAAGAAGATTCTTTTATTAATTACGTCATTAACACTCTCTAATTTAATTTACCTCAAGAATCTTGATTTGGGTTAAAGTTGTTGTGTCCCTCTCTCTCATGGTTACTATTCTCTTTCACCAACTAGTAAGTTGTATTATATATTATATCTTTCAAAAGAAGGAAGAAATTATACCAAAGCACCTGGCTAGCTGCATACCAACTCCTTTAATCTACACACATTATCCTAATAATTTCTTTTTCTTGATTGAGAGCTTTTGCAAAGACAGAGATGACCCCTTAGTTTCTCTTTATCTTTCTATCCCAAAAGGGCTCAGTTTTGATGTCGGATGACTTTATGTCGGCATTGGGCCATGCTTGTCAACTTGTCAAGGATGGTGAAGAATTATATAGTGAGGTGAGGGCTTTAATTATGTCAGTCGTTATCTGTTAACCGTAC